TTACATAGTTACATATACAATTCAAAAATCTCCTAGGATGTATATGCTCGGCATAATGAGAGAGAGGAGAGGGAGATCGCCAACTGACTCGTCACTTATGACGTGAATTGAACAACAAAAGATGACTTTAACTTCCACTTTTTGCTTCTTAGTACCTAAAAAAAATAATTACATTTTTAATGAGATGTTACTCAATGAGAGAACAATAATCCATTGAAACCATAACATGCAATCACGTCATCCAAGTATCATCACATATAAACAATACAGGTAGTTCATATGACTCTAAGATTACATGCTTTTCTTTTTCTTATCGGTTATAACTTGGACATGTCAAGTTTCGCCCGAGTACTTGTAACTTGTAAACTTGTACACATGTATTCGTTGGCGACTTTTATAACTTATAGTTGACTCGTTGGGTCCTTGTAAACTTGTATTTGCGAAACTTGAACAAGCCAATCATAACCTTAACCTCTTAGTCTTGCATATATCATGAATGTTTCACATATAGCATATACAACATCCATAGCTTACACCATGGTACATATCCATTATAACATCAATAAACATAACGTTTGCGTCACCTAGCAAACGACACATCATTCACATCATAGTATCAATATCAATAAACATAATATTTTTATAACATCAATAAACATAACGTTTGCATTAACTAACAAACGACACATCATTCACATCATAGTATCAATATCAATAAATATAATATTAGCACTCAATAGCAATAACACATCATGGCACAACTATTGTTATTCAACTCACAAAAATGACGTCTTCGCCGTTTATCAATGCGTCGCGTCTCGCATCTCACACTCCTCGACGTCTATAAACACATACACATATACTTTTATAAGTCATTTTATCATGATCAAACTTCTAAATATGCTCAAGGTACAAAATATGACTTTAGGGTTAACTTATTCCTTTATGGGTAATTGACCCCTTTTCACTCTTTCTACCATAAATCCCAAAATACAGATTCAAATGATGCAATTCTAGTTTCATATGAAACTAGACTCATAGGGCTCTAACATATCCAAAAATCAAGTCTACGTACGAAATACACAACTCATGATGATTTTCTAAAAATCGAGTTGCTGCCATTTGTTTATGGGTACTTGACCTCTTGACAGTTCACACTCTTTGTACTAAATATCCTAAAATACAGGGTAAAATGATAAAATTCTAGTTTTACATGAAACTAGACTCAAAGGGGTCTAACATATCCAAAAATCAGCCCAATATTCCATATACATGATTTATTCTAGATTTTCAAACTCTAACTAGTTTCCAAGCACCCTTGTTACCGAGCAGTCTCCAAACAAACAACAATAAATCTAGATTGGGACATGATAAAGACCTAATTCGTTTTTAAAAACGAACTAGACATATCAATATAAAACATATCCAAAAATCAAATCGAAATACTCAACACCCAAAGAATACCATATTTTTAAAGTTTGCACATTAATCGCCAGACATCGGATCACCTAGAACAACATGTGTTCAAACCATCATAACCCGAAATACAAAACTCTTTCATAGAGACCTAGATAAGACACAAACCAATAATTTGTATTCTTATAACTTGTTCCAGATCTGACCTTAAAGTCTCGAAATCAAGAGTGCAAAACAGAGCTAGCGATGAATTTACCTAGATTTCCAGCTTGATCATCCGAATTTGACAAAGAAATGGGTTTTTCCTCTCTTTCTCTCTCTCAAAACGGGAAACAAGATGGGATAAAAAGAGATAATGATCAGGTAAGTAATCTTGATAAGGTTGTGAAGATATTTTGGCAAAGTTCATTTTGGTCCCTCAAGTTTTGGCTTGTTTTTATTCTAGTCTCCCAACTTAGATTACATTCAATTAAGCCCCTAATTCTTCCAATTATTTCAAATAATTATTATCCAATACCCCACTAACATGTCATATGCAGGTATAATTATATACGTGTAATTTCTAAGTATGCGTGTATGCATTAACGATGTATGTTTTTGGGACAGTGGTTATTACATTTATGGATGAAACATTATACTTTAATTGAAGAAAAATCCAATAATTTCTAGGAATTATATTGGGCCTAAACTAAAAAAATTAGGGTTTGATTTTGAAGCAATTTGATTCTGGTTTAATGGGTCATTTACAATTAAATAAGCATGTTTTGATGAGTAGAAATGAAAAATTTGCTAAAAATTGAAGAAAATGGGTTATATGGGCTTAGGCCCAATATGGGTTTGGGCAGAAATGAGGGTTCTAAATTTTAATTAAATTGATTCTTATAGTGAATATATATTTAGGCTACTTAATATTAAAATGGTAGGGTAAAATGAGAAGAAAATATTAGGAATTTAAATAATGAAATATTTGGCGTAAATGAGAAATTTTAGGAATTAAGTTTAAATTAAGTTCCAAACTCTAAATTAGTTCATTCAAGCTCAAAATAAAGAAAAAGGATGGTTTAGAATAAAAGTGTTCATGAAAATCTAAAGAAACATTGATTTAGGAAAACTTGGACCTTAGGCCCATTGAGGCCCAAACTGAAATTGGACTACATAATCAATGAAATAATCCCTAATTAAGTTAGAACATAGATTAGTACCTAATTTGATAAATATTAGATGCAAAAGGGTAGCTAGGAACCTAAGGAAAATAACTTAGAAATGTTAAAATGTATAGTAAGTTAATAAGATTAAAATGAAATGTAATTGTTTGCTTACTTTTATGTTATGATGGTATTTTTTTCCAATAATGTATGTGATGCAAGGAATAATGAATGATGGCTATGCTTAAGTTGTGATTGGTGATGAGAATTGTGGTTATGGTAACCGATGGGCCAATAATAATTGCACTTCTTGATAAGTATTGATATTATTTATGCCGTTATGCTCGCCTAAGTTTATACGTGTTTTCATGACATGGTTACATGACCATTTAGGACATGCACTTGGGTATCACTGTTAGCATGCATTGTCATTCAAAATGCATGTGCATGTCAAAGCTCATGAATAATGTTTTAAGTCATGAAAACATATTTTATGCTATGAGTTTCCAATAGCGATCGAATTATTTTAAAGAAAAGGATTTTCATGACTTTGAGGATTTTTATGAGAATGAGCTTCGTGGGTTTTTCATATAGTAATGGTAATGGTTCAAGACTAAGCAAGTGAAGATGTACACTTTTAGAAGCTCGGTAAGGCATGTCCGTGGATAGGTCCGATTCGCCAAACATATGTTATAAGAATCCTAAAGTACCTAAATGAGACATGTCCAAAGAAAAAAATATTTCAGATCGTTTATGAAATATTTTATGACATGAGAAAAAGGATTTATTATGTATATATCGGTATTTTATACATGCATATACATGCACATGCATATGCACTACATGCATAGGTTAATTTATCGAGTTATTACTCACGTATATGTTTGTGGTGTAGCTATTCTAGATAAAAAATGATGTTCATAACCTTTGAGTTGAATATTGAAGAGGGCATCCGTCGCGTGTATGTTGGTCGTGGTTAGCGTATGGACTCGATACATACGAGTAGCTCTTGTTGTACCGGGTATTTTAGTTTACTTTATAGCCATGACTATGTTACGTTATGCGCTCCTTAAAGCTATGATACAATAGATAAAATGGGATAGAAAACCGGATGTAAATAGGAAATAAGTCATTTTTATAATTGGTGGCAATGAACCGATAACTTAATTTTTAATGTAAATATTTGTGTGTATGTAAGTAATGTACCATTAATAAACTGCTAGCGTAGTAATTGTTTAAATTAATTATCAGCACAAAATTAGTATAACTAAATGAAGAAATGAATTGAACGAGTATCACAAATTTGGATAGTTTGATTTAAAGAACATAAATAGGATTGTGAAATTCAAAAAAATTTATATAACATTTGGGACTAGGCGTAGGACCTTATCGTAATTAGTGAACTTTCTCAACGTAGGTGTACCATCTAGATCTATAAATAAGTCATAGTGCCTTGATAACTTACGTTCATTGCACTCCGAATGTAAGTTATCGATGATAATATTCTTAATATATTAGGTCCTAGATTGAGGGCATTACAGTGCGTGTGGCACATGCGCTTGACAAATTATGAAACTGCCCATTGAAACTCCAACCGTTGCTGCCAACAATCATAGTCTTCTTTGGCCACCTCTAGGCGAGTTGCTGGTCAGGAAATGAGCGTCTCCTCCATCGTGCGGCATAGATGGTGTCGAAACAAACCCACTTAGCCGATTGTGATTCTGACCACATTTAGGGAATAGGAAGACACCTTTTAATTGATAAGACTCTGAGGAGTTGTTCTCCTACGGTTGGTGGTTCGATTAGGTCTAGATCGAATGATAGAAATGGGGTTTCACAAACAAGTCTTTTCTCGGATTTTCGTTCTATTCAACTGATTTCGATGACTTTTTGTCATGTTTTTTTAGGAGGAATAACTCTTAAAAGGGTGAAAGATGTTTCTTTGGTGGTAGTTGCTGTCGATTTGACCAGAAAATAGAGTTCCAGTAGGATATAACTCCAGTTGATTGTGAATGGTTAATATGAGGCTGAGCTATAATCTCACAGTGGTTGTTAGTGATTGTTTGAGGTGATATTGACTCGAGGGTGGTGTTTTTTGGGAGATGAAAAAGGTTGGAGTTTTTGGTGAGGAAATCTTTATGAGCTATTTGGTTTTTTCTTTCTTTCTTTCTTTCTTTCTTTCTTTTTTTTTTTTTTTTTTGACAATCTTAAGTACAGACATCCTTGACCGTCCAATCCAAAAAAAAAAAAAAAAAAATCTCTCTTCAAGGAGACAAACAGCAACCTTATCATCAAGCTGATGAAAAAATATCGGGCTTAATCAAGATAGCAATTATTTACCTTTTGTTCACTCAAGTCTTCATCCCCTCAAAGCCACATCTTTTCGATCTTCTGGGTACATAGCACTTGACCTTCCACACAAGAAGGACGAAATTAAAAATGGAAACCTGGTTCATCATCCTTATCTCTCTGTTCTTCTGTATGCTCCTCCGATCCTTTTTCACCCTTCTCAAACCCTCTCACAGCCTTCCTCCTGGTCCCCGTGCCATTCCCATCATCAGCAGCCTTCTGTGGCTACTTAAATCTTTCTCCGAGCTTGAGCCTATCCTTCGCAACCTACATGCCAAATATGGCCCTATCGTCACCCTCCATATAGGGCCTCGTCCGGCTATCTTTATCACCACTCACTCCCTTGCTCACCTAGCACTAGTTCAAAACGGCGCAGTTTTTGCCGACCGCCCCCCAGCCCTTGCCACTTCCAAGTTCCTTAGTAGCAATCAACATAATATCAGCTCCGCCTCTTATGGACCAACTTGGCGTCTATTACGCCGTAATCTTACTTCTGAAATCCTCCATCCATCGCGTATTAAATCCTATTCACATGCTCGCAAATGGGTACTGGATATTCTCATAAATAGCCTCAAGTCTCAGTCAGAATCCAATCAACGGGTGCGTGTCAGAGATCATTTCCAGTATGCTATGTTTTGCTTGCTAGTCTTGATGTGTTTTGGCGACAAACTCGAGGAAAACAAGATCAAACAAGTAGAAGAAGTCCAACGCAGGTTGCTGTTGAGCTTTGGTCGCTTCAATATTCTGAATTTCTGGCCAAGTTTGACAAAGATACTTTTTCATAAACGTTGGGACGAGTTATTTCAGCTTCGTCGAGAACAAGAAAACGTGTTGGTTCCTTTGATAAGAGCCAAAAAGAAAGGAAAGCATGAAAATTTAAGCAAAGACAGAGAGGAGTTTGTTGCGTCGTATGTGGATACCTTATTGGATTTGCAACTCCCAGATGAGAAGACAAAGCTTGAAGAAGGAGAAATAGTTAGTTTATGCTCAGAGTTTCTTGATGCAGGCACGGACACTACATCAACGGCACTGCAATGGATCATGGCGAATTTGGTGAAGTACCCTCATATTCAAGAAAAGCTCTTTGAGGAGATTCAAGGGATTGTGGATGCTGGAGAGGAAGAGATTAAAGAAGATGATTTGCACAAGATGCCATATCTGAAAGCAGTGATTTTGGAAGGATTAAGGCGACATCCTCCAGCGCACTTTGTGTTGCCACACGCGGTAACACAAGATATAATTCTCGATGGTTTTAGAGTTCCCAAGAATGGTAGTGTGAATTTCATGGTTGCAGAGATAGGGTGGGATGCTAAGGTGTGGGAAGACCCCATGATGTTCAAACCTGAGAGATTTTTGAATGATAATAATACTAATGGTGTGGAAGCCTTTGATATAACTGGAAGCAGGGAGATAAAGATGATGCCTTTTGGGGTAGGGAGGAGGATTTGTCCCGGGTATGGTTTGGCAATGCTTCATTTGGAGTATTTTGTGGCCAATTTGGTTTGGAATTTCAAGTGGACAGCAGTCGATGGAGATGATGTTGATATGTCCGAGAAGCAGGAGTTTACAGTGGTGATGAAGAATCCATTGCAGGTGCACATGACTCCAAGGGAGAGAGGGAGCTCGAGCTTATTAAAAGTTTGATTGGTTTGTCTATTCTTAGATGGTATCAATGCGAGCATCCAGGATAATACAAATAATGATAGCGTGTACTCAGTTTCGATAATAAACATAGGTATAGCGTGTTTAACCTATGAATGTAAAGAACCTTTAACTATAGGGATTCGTCCCATGAAGTCCAGGCGACTGCTAGTTATTATGCCCCTAACAGATCCAACTCCAGGCTATTCCCGTAATACAAATCAATTACAGGGCCATCCAGAGCTACCGTGTTCCATCCCTAGTGCAACTAATGACTTTTAAAGATTGCAACCGTATGCTACTACAAAATCTTTCAAAGAACAGAAAACGTAATTTCTTACAACAGAGCAGTGAAATATCATGAGCCTGAACTGAAAAGGCAATACTAACAAGTTACACATCAATCATGCATTTTCAAATGATAATCTCAAGCTTTCTTTTTCTTTTTGGAAGGCACAGTTATTCAAGACAATACAGATCAAAAGAGTGCTTAGATTACACCAAGCCGGATGGAGAAGGAAAGCCAAATTCAACCATACGAGTAGCAAAATTGCAAGATAACTAAAATTTCGGATCCAAGCAGTTATAATTAATCTCATGTCGAAATTGATAGCCCAAATTTTCTACAATATAGGAAAGAAAGTAAAACCAATGACTACTTCGATTGTAAGATTTACATGGACAACACCAGCTGCTCAATTCGGATAACGATTGCAAGATGTGGGGAACTCAAGAAGATTATACTAAGAAGAATTCTACATTGGTGGTTGCTGTGTATTTAGCTATAAACAGGTTACAAAAAATACGGTAGTTGAGATTTAAAAATATTCAAAAAGAATCTTAGTGTATTTGTATTGTATTTAAATAGAATCCTACTCTATGTGTGCTATGTTTAAATAAAGTACTAACTCATTTGTTATCTTATCACTCTCCCTGAAGTTGAGTGGAAAAACATTGAATGGTCAACTTGTCAAGAAGAAATTGGAAACGTTGGCTAGACAAAGCTTTGGTTAAGCAATCTACAATTTGATCCTTTGTAGAAATATAACCAACAAGTAGATATCATGTACTAACACATTCACAAACAAAGTGAAAATCAATCAATAAATGCTTGAAGAGAGAATGACACATTAGATTACCGAGTAAGGTATGTAGCACTAAGATTATCATATCATAAGATGAGTGCAATAGAAGATGCCAAATGTAATTCATAAAGGAGAGACTGCAACTACGGAACTTCGAAGCGATTGCGAGATAAGGCTCTATATTTAGCTTTTAGTGGATGGTTTGGACATTGTGTGTTGTTTTCGATAACACCAAGACACTAGATTAGTGCCAAGAAATATGGCATATCTAGTCATGGATTTTTTTATCATCAATACTACTAGCCCAATCAACATCACTATAAGTAGATATATGCGGATGAGGTGAAGATTGGATTAGCAAACCATGAGAACGAGAGGCCTTTAGGTAACAAAGGATCCGTTTGATTGCTCGCCAATGATAGTTGGTAGGAGAGTGCATAAATTGAACAACTTTGTTTACAACATAGGACACATCAAGACGTGTAAAGGTCGGATATTGAAGACTTTCCACAATACTACGATACAACAAGGGATCGGAAAATGGCTCACCTACGGACATAGTAAGACGATGCTTAAGACAATCGGGAGTAGCAATTGAATTGCTTTCATGCATGCAAGAGCGAAGTAAAATACCATCAATGTACGATTGAGCTAAAAAAAGACCTTATTAGTCTATGTAACTTCAATTCTAAGAAATTAATGCAAGCCACCAAGATCTTTAAGAGGAAAAAGATGTTGAAGAGCAACAACAACGAGATGATAGGAATGATGCGGAGCTCCTAGTTACCATTATATCATCCACATAGACTAAACAAGTATGCATAAGTATCATCATTCCGATAAGAAAATAAAGAGGAGTTTACCTTAGAACCCACAAAGCAAAGTGTGGATAAGGCATTAGAGAAGCGAGAAAACTAAGATCTAGGAGCTTGCTTGAGACCATAAAGACTTTTCTTGAGTCTACGGACATGATGTGGTTTAGATGGGTAAATAAACCTTTGAGGTTGAGTCGCGAAAACTTATTCATCAAGAATGCCATAAAGAAAAGCATTAGAAACATCTTATTGTTTAATATCTCAATGCTTGGAAATAACTAGAAACAACAAAAGACAGGATAAGTCCGATGGTAGTAAGTTTGACAACAGGAGAAAAGGTTTCGATGTAATGCGGACCAAGACACTAGTGAAAACCTTCGGTGACAAGATGGGCTTTGTAGTGCTCAAGACTACCATTGAGCCGTATTTTTATGTGAAACACCAAAGTAGGATTGGGGGTCCAAAACTCGGGGTAGTTGAACTTATAAATGCTTGAGGTTTTAGGCACCCAATTTGAGACTTTGTAATCATGGAATGAAGTTTAGCATGGGGCTGAATAATTGATTGAGTCGAAGAAGAGGGCAAAGGTGGTAGCAAATTTAAGGTCGGATATGCGAGCTAAATCGGGGTTGGTGGTGACCACATGTCAGCAGTTGGTGGGGACCGAATGGCATGGGTTTGTTAGTATAGGTGCCCAAGATTTAACCATATTTGGATACATTTGAATTATTATATCATTACATTATTTATTTTATTAATAAAAGAAGTTTTTCTATTAATTCTTATTTATTTATATTTATTTATTGAATAGAATTAGATAGAAGTCCATATGATATCATTTGCATTAGTGTTTGATAAAAAAATATGAGATAAATATTAATACACACAAATGACACCGACTATGTACGGATAGACTTGTGAGTGTTATGCTCATGCTATATGATAGTAGTAGAAGATCTCACATCTATTAGCATGGTGATACCAAAGCAAGCATTTAGGTGATTTAAGTTAGAGAACATATCTCCGCACTCGACTCGCCATGAGAACTCATTTGGTTTACTCTATGAGAATCTTATATGAGATGGGTATAATTAGTCCTTAGACTTGAAGTCACTATGATTATCTCATTAAAGGATTTATGTACTTTGACTCTTATTTCGATGAACCTAGTAAAGGGTTGCATATGGGAGATTTATTGGATGCATTAGGAATCTAATGGAGGTAGGTGGATGACTAATATAGGATAGATCATTCCTTGTATGCTAAGAGAGTTATCACATTTTACTTCGATGAATTTTTGCTCGAAATTCGTGACCACGGTAGGAGTACACCAATAGAGCATATTTGGTTTACTCTAAGAGCTAAGATATTTGAGAATTGAAGAAAACTTATGTGACCACAATCGAACAAACTAAATAACCAAGTTCGAGATCACACTATGATAAATTAACATGAGGATTGAATTATATGATAACCATGCTTATGAAAGATAATTATGAATTAGTTAATCTTGTTAGAGAATTAGGTAGTCATGAAGCCTTGCTAGAGGCTAATCTTGATTTATGTATCAAAAGCTAAAATATGTTTTTTTTTATTCCCGATACATTATCAACATATCTAGAACCCTATTAAGTCACACGCATAAGTTTAGGCAATCACATAATAAAAGAGAAACAAAGATGTTAGAAAAAGTTTCTAATTTTGAAAGTTTCATGTTTTGAAAAAGGTTTTCAAAATGAAAAGTTTTCTATTTTGGAAATTAGTTTTCTAATTTGGAAGTCAATTCCAAATTTGGAAGTAAATTACCTAAAAGAAAAATTAGTTTCCTAATTCGAGTTTAAGGATAATTTAAAAAATTATTTTTTAATATGGGCCTTCTAAAAATATCCGACCTAATTTATTTGGATAGTCCAAATTAATTAGTAATTAATTGGGCAAAAGAATTTTAGGATAATAGGTTTAATTAAAATAGGTTTAATTAAAAGCTTGTAAGATATTTTAATATGAGGATAAACATGAACTTTGTTGGATAAGGATAAATGTTTTAAAGGATAAGATCAAAAATTTCATATGCATCATATCTCCAAATCCTTATAGGATTAGAAAGCAACAACTTAGAGTCTTTTTTAGGACTAATTGTCACCTTTTCTTGTCTTTGGAGGATAAAGAAAACTCTCTTTATAAATAAGAGAAGAGGTGCGACAAAAGAGAGAGATTATTAGAGAGGAAAATGGCATCAAACATAGAAAATTAGGGCACACATCATTGAGCAAAAATAAGAAAAAAATACTTTTCTCTCCAACCCTAGCACATGCCACTTTTTCCTTTCTCTCTAAAGGTTGTAGCAAAATTACCTTGATTAGATTTTAAAAGAAAAAAATACTAAACAAGTCGAGCACAAGGTAGTAGCTAGCACTCTATCCATTTTGATTGCTTATTTTGTGAGTGCTTGGATTGCATGGATTATCGATAGAGGTTGACCACTTGGACTATTTCTTTTCTACAAAGATTCAATCTACGCTACAAAAGATAATTCTTTATTTAACATTTTAATTCAACGAAATAATCTTAGGATCTTTAGATGGAGAAAATTTTTTTATTTTATTTCACACCTCTATAAGATGTATGATCCTTCACTATATCTATACCGTTCCATTCTCTCAAGCATTCGCACTAGTCCATTCCAACATATCACCTTCTTATTTTTTATTTAGTTACTTAGTTATGTTAATCTACCGATGCATATAAAAAATTTGACTTCTCACGTCTTTTTGTCGATGTTGCTATTTTGTCAAAAGTTATATAAGTCTTCTATGTACACAAATTCTTTTAGGTCTTTTTTTCTTGTATGGGCTTCTCTAAATTTTATCCAGTGGATTAGGCTTTAGGTGCAATAATAGCTTTCAAGGCTTTATGACTCGAAGCATTATTGGGCTCTAGCCAATTTAATTAGGTTGGTTGGCCTTGATTAAATTTAGGTATAACATTTTCTCTTTTTTTGTGTTTGAAATCAACTCTCATGTGTAAAAAGAAACCATTACTTTAGCACCTTCTCATCTCCCCCTAATTTCTAATGTTGTAATGAATATTGGAACTAGTATGT